GCCTCACACATTTCTGCTGCTGTAGTATTTGCTCTTTCTAATTCCTGATGTTTTAGTGTTCTGCAATATGAATCTGCTTGCCTCTTCTTCGCATACGCCCTCTCAAGCATTTGAAATTCAGTTTTCTCAGGTTAACTTTCCATCTTCCAAAAATTTGGATATCCTTCATTTGCTATTGTCTTTCTTATTCCCCTTGTCCGTGTGAGCTGATAATTTAAAAAATATTAACTCGCCGTCATTTTGGGAATGAGAGAAATAGGGATGAACACGTGTTTAATCTGTCCATGTATAACAAGAATTGCAAGACTGTCAAGATGCTCATTTTTTTACTCCCATAAAAAAATGTCAGAACCAGAAAATTCAGAGATAAAATTCTGCTCCCATGAGGCTGATGTGGAAAAGCATGGGTCTGAGAATAGCATTCCCTATTTTCAAGTCCTGTTATTATCATCTGTTGGTTGGTGGATGTTAGGTAAGTTAATTTTTCTGATTGTTTTGTCATCTATCAAGTGGTGATAATCATCCCTATACAGCCTATCTTACTTGTAATGACCAAGAAAGATAATTGATCTAAACGTACAAATATACAGTAAATATATATAATTTATCATTGTTACCAATAGGCAAAGTCAAATATATTTTGAGAAGCAGTATAACAAAGTAGAAAGAGTATGAGCTTCAGAGTCACACAGATCTGGACTCGAATTCCATCTCTCTCATTCACTGTGTGATCTTGGGTAAGTGACTTAACCTCGCTGAGCTTCGTTTTCCCCATTTATAAAATGAGTATATTATTATTAACCTGACAAGGCTGTAGTGAAGGTTAAAAGAGATAATGCATGTAACACATCTGCTATAGGGTCTAACACTTAGTAGGTACCCAGCAAATGTTATTCCTTATTCCTCTAATTTGGGACCAGCTTTCTTATGCTCACATGAAAACCCTGAGCTTGTATTTCCTCAATTAATGCTAAACCACAATAGTAATTAGCATCTTAGGTCATCAACAGTCCTGTTTTTCCTGGGACTAAATTATAAGGTGAGCAGACTAAATTGAAAGGGGTCAGCATCCATATCCTTTGAAGTGGTAACTGAGGCATCTTTAGGGGTTGTTATAAAATAAGATGTAAAACTTGTAAGAAATATTAAAAGAGGTCAAGGGCATTGGAATACTGGAAAAATGATACTCAAAAAATTATCTTAAGAGTAATTGGTAGTTGTTGTTTTTTTTCTATTTGATCCTTACACAAACCCAGAAGCTGGGCAAGTTTTATTATCCTGTTTAAAGATGAAGAAACAAAGGCATGAGTAAAAAAGTGACTTGCTCAAGATTCATTAGTCATCAGGCTAAAACCAAGAACTCCATCCTTGGTCTTTTAACTCCCTGTTCAGTGCTCTTTTAAAAAAATTGTGGTTAAATACACATTCATCTATGAACAAACATGGGTTGCTTCTACCTCTTGGCTATTGGTAATAATGCTGCTATGAACATGCGTGTACAAATATCTCTTCAAGACCATGCTTTCAATTCTTTTGGATATATACCCGGAATTGGAATTGCTGAATCATATGATAATTCTATTTTTAACTTTTTGAGGAACCACCATACTGTTCTGAGGAACAGCCATATGTGGTAGCTGCACCATTTTACATTCTCACCAACAGTGCACAAGTGTTCTAATTTCTCCACATCCTTGCTAACACTTGTAATTTTATTTTTTCTAATAGTCACCCTAATGGTGTTATCTCACGGTGTTTTGTTTTGTTTTTTTTTTAAGTTTTAAAGTCTTCTATAGAGATGCCAAAACACTAAGTAACCCTGGGTAACATCACCAACAATGTGTAGCATTAAGATCCTACTAGATTTAAGATGCTGGAGGAGGCAACAATACACACAGACTCTTCCATCAAGGATTTTATAATCTAGCTGGAAAGAAAGAACATATGCATTTAAAAATAAATAACAATGTAAGATAGCGTATTCTAAATGATAAGTATTACATGAAGACAGAAAAGGGTAAAATTATAGTAGGCTAGGCTGATTAAAAAAGCCTTAAAGAGAAAATGGCACCTTAAATATTTTAGAAGGAAGAGTTTAAATTATCCAAAAGAAAAGAAAATTAATTTTCTTATTTCAGTTATTAAAGCATGCATTCTTTCAACAAACATTTATTGTGCTCCTAATAAATGCTAGACACTGTGCTAGGTGTTGGAGTTACTCAAGCACAAGAGAGAAAGATGAGCAAGGAGGAGTGACAATCCAAGGTGCCAAGTGTGTACACGGTATGCTGAATCACTTTCTAAGAGCCTGCTAATCTATCAAGAAGACTGTAATCACCTCCTTCTATAGTGAATCATAAAGGGAATTTGTAAAGCACATTGCTTTCTGGACTATAGTCACACTCAATTATTTCAAATGGAATATAGCTGGGAAGTTTCTCATTCACCCTTGGGAAGGAGGCTATGTTCAAGAAGCTAAGGCTGTTGCAAGTTAGTTATCAGCGCCTCATACCTATCACCCCATGTGGGTTCTTGCATTTACAAATATGTGCTACGCATTGGAGAAGCAAAGAAAGATAAGTAAGTCACAGATCCTGCCCTCCAGGATCTCAAAGATAGCTACAAGATATGATTTGGGTTGTAATTGAGTAATGAAAGAAAACAAGAAGGACTAGCTTTCTTCTCCCTAAGGAAATCATAGGCTTCTTTTAAAAAGTTAACACCTAAGCTGGATCTTAAAGGATGGGAGGAGTTCATCAGATGGGAAGAGAAGGGACTGACATTCCAGCCAGGGGAACAGCATGTTCAAGAGATATTAAGTGATTTAATGTAGCTAGAACTTACAATACATGATGGATAATAGTAAGACTAGGAAAGCTGCAGAGGTAGACTACAGATAGTTTTATTCTAAAAGTAACAGACAATTGATTTTTAGGCAGGGGAGCAGCATGATTAGATTTCTTTTCTTTAAGGAGACAGCAGGCTACATGGAGACTGAACTGGAGTTACAGAGAACCAAGAAGGTAACATCAGAGAAGGCGGTCAGGTGGTTAACCAAATAGGGTCTCAGGATCTCATATTCGGCCTGCAAGACCAGAAATCTGATTTTCCTAATGCATCTAGCATGGAAAGATACTTGAGGATTGACTCACAATAACCAAATTCATAAGAGAATGTGGTATAAAGTATAATTTTAATTTATTAATACACATTCATCAAACACTCATAAAGAATCTACTTTGTGCTAAGCATTGTTCTAGGTTCTAGAGACACAGCTGTGATTAACAATTTCCTGCCCTCAGAGTTACGTTCTAGCATGGATTATATTTTTCCAGTGACTGAAATATTTGTGTTTGTCGTCCAGAGTATTTCCTTCTCAGTGTAAAGGTACCAGGGAATTTAAGTTGGTAATCAAAACATTGTTTGGTGAACGATCAGAAAAAAAGAGAGATAGATAATTTTAAGGTTCATTTCATTTGGTCCCAGGTGAAGCCTAAGAAATTATCTATGCTTTGGAACAAGTATACCTGTGAATGACTAGCTTGGATTTATGACTGCTCAGTCCTGAACATTGCTGAATGAAAAAACATAGCCAATCCTGGCAGATTCCTCTCTTTCTGGGTTCCAAGAGAACGATTTTAATTCTAACACATTCTTTCAGGCATACATACTGGATTATAATTAATTTTAATTAACGTTAGCTTCAGTCATTTTTACCATATAATTAAATAAAGGCTCCAACTTTGACTACATCACTGAAAGCAATCATATTAAAATTTTGGACACTACTGGATTTTCACCCATTAATTCAACAAATAGTTACCAAATATTTGTACCAGGCACTCTGCTAGGTGCTGAGAACATCTGAATGAACAGGACAGATTTTGCACCTATCCTCAAGGAATTTATATACATTCTAGTAGTGAAGTGAGATTATGAAAATCACCAGTAAACAACTGACCAATAAATTGTGTTAAGTGTCATAAAGGAAAAGGGCCAGAGAAGAATGCTGCAGTATCCAAGAAAGATATAACAATCACTTGTACTAGACTAGTGGCAGTAGAGATAGAGAGAAATGATTGTATTTGAGGTTTATTTTGGACTTAAAATCAATAAGAATTGATAATGAATTGGATGAAGAAGGTGAGAAAAAGGAAAGAATCAAGTTAACTCTTGGGTTTCTGACTTAATCAACTGGGCAAAGAGCAGTGCCCTTAACTGAAATAAGAAAGGCTTGCAATAGGAAAATACCCAGACACAGGAACTTTGACATCTCTGTGAGACAAGCACATGTAGAAAAGTAGGCACTTGGATATGTAAGACTGAAACTCAGAGAAGAGGTTTGGGTTGGAAATATGGATTTGGGAATCATGGACATATTACAGTATTTAGAGATAGTATTTTCATTAGAGTATAGCCTGGCCAACTTGCTTAGAATTGGTGATTCTAAATCTCAGTGACATATTATCTCAGAAATCATTTCTATATGTAAGTAAAGAATGAAGAATTCATTCTTGCTAGTTTAGTTCTCAAAGGATAACTATTCAAGACTTCTTTGGGAGAGCTTCATATACCTTCTGTCTACCACATCAACTCAAAGATAAATTTAATTTCAGAGTTACTAGATGCTTTTCACTAATATCTCAGTGACTTTCTCTTTTCCTCCTCAAAGATAATTCTTAAAGGCCCCACGTAATGAGACACTCATAGATGAAAAGGTTTCAATTGATTTGGATTTCTATGTGGATTAGAATCTCGATCTTAATAATGTTTTCTGTAATTAAATATCACCTACAAGGATGTATAGGCTTATTTACCAAGTACAAAGAGTACTGAACTAAGAATCATGAGATATGGGTTCTAGTTCAAGTACTGTTGCTAGTTAATTTTAAGTCGCAGCCTCTATAGGCCTGCTATTTTATGGGTCAAGTGAAGAGACTATGGAATATTTTAGTGCCTATAGGTTAGAATATAATTAAGGATTATCATCATTAGCTTACTATTAGGCAGCTGGAGATCTGGAGTGATGCTGAGCATCAACAATGGCCCAAAGTGAAGATTCCAGTAGTCTGTTTCTGGATTTCTCACTATTTTTTGCCAACTTCATAACTTGCCTTCTGTATCTATGAAACAGAAAAATTATAATGATTTCTCTCACCGTTATGAGAAGAAATTAATGTCTATATATCTTGCAGAGATTCCTAGATGATAGAGGTTAGGAAAATACGAGTGATGATTTGTGTTGATGTTCTTATTAGTTTAGTCTAGTTAGGATCTACCTCTTGGAAAACTTGGAAAAGCTTAGCTACTATTGCTTTGTGACGTCTGCCAACTCCTCTGAGAATTTTGGCTTTCCTACTACATTGTGGGAAGCCTGAAATCTTTGAAGTCTCTTGCAAGTAGCCAGTTCAGGGAGATCATGCCTGGTATCATGCTAAAATGGAAAATAAAATCTTTTCACAGAAGTGGTCAAGACTATTTGTTAAGCATACCAGCATTTCTCAAACAGGGAGTGGAGGTAAAATGAGGCCTCATCCAGACTTTGTGTCTTTGTTAGTACGAACTAACTTTGTTAGCGTATACTGAGTAACTTAACAGTGATTTCCTATGAGCTCCTCTCTATCTCTATCACTTCTCTTGTCCGTTTTTTCCCACTTCATTTGTTTTCTCAGTCTTCATTTTCCTAGTCCAACAGCCTTTTCAAAAACTTAGGCCACATCGTTTCCTCTCTCTCCTCAAGGCCTCCCCACTCAAAGTGATTTAAGGACTGTCAATGCCCCAAATATTTACCTCTCAGAGACCCAAGAGGAGATAAATGGTATGTACTGGTGGCTCTCAACCAAGGGTGATTTGGTAATACTTGGAGACATTTTTGTGTTACACAGCTGGGGGAAGGGTGTCACTGGCATCTAGTGTATAGAGGCCAGGGATGCTGCTAAAAATTCTATAATGCACAGAACAGCTCTCAACAACAAAGAATTATCTGACTCAAAATGTCAACAGTGCTGCTGTTGAGAACCCCTGGTATGTACGGTAAGTAGCTAAAGATTACTGAGACAGTAGAGCCTCCTTAGGGATGCAGATATTCAAGGCGATAAAGTGGCAGCCACTGGCATCAGATTGTCCTAACTTGGATCCCCAGGTTCTCTGCTTTTGCTGGCTGTATGATTTTGGACTTATTCAAAGCTGTGAAAGCATAGTTTCCTCAACTGGAAAAAGGGGCTAATAAAGTATCATTCTCACTAAGCTGTAAATTCATTGGAGTTAGGATTCTAATCTTACCTGCCATGCTTAGATTAGGGACCAGTACCCAATGTGGAGTACTAACTATCTGTGGATTATCTCACGCAGTTGTTTTGAGGCTTAAAGCAGGGAACATATATTAAGTGATATGAAGCACAGTGAGAAAAAAAGCAGTTCCTGATAGTGAGTGGCTAGGCTGACACTATCAGCTAGAATATGCTGCCCTGTTGAACATAAACAACTTCACAGGACACCAACTTAAAAAAAAGCCACTCTGTGACCATGATGGATCAAGACAAAACAAAACCACTCCATAATCATGTCTGAATACAAAGAACACCGTCCCAATCTCTCCCTCACACACACACACACACACACACACACACACACGAAAACAAATATCCCCCTACCCTGGCTAACATGAGGGACTACTGCTTCTTAACCAGTCATAGCTTTAGCCTCTCTTCGCTTCTCCCTTCTCTCTCTCTCTCTCTTGCTCACACACACACACACACACCCTCTCTCTCTCTCTCTCTCACACACACACACACACACACACACACACACACACGAAAACAAATATCCCCCTACCCTGGCTAACATGAGGGACTACTGCTTCTTAACCAGTCATAGCTTTAGCCTCTCTTGGTTCTTCTCCCTTTATAGATTAAGAATTATTAAAATACTCCACCTACCTAATAGCATTCAATCCAGAGAGGCCTCCTTCAACGAACCCTTCTCCAAATTCCCTCACACAAACCCAAATCCTGTAAATTCTTTCCAGCACCCTCTTCACGAGATGCCTGCTGTTCCCCAGGCCGTGCCTCCTCTCTTTGCAAGGAGACAGTAAGCCCAACTTTGTTCAACTATAGGGGCGTTCTCGGTGGTCTTTGGCGGGAGATCACTGACAATAGTGAGAGCCCCCTAAAGAGTAGCTGCTATTATTATGCCTCAAGAGGAACTGCATGATGCACCCATAGCGTCCGCGCAGGGACTTCATAAACTGTTTTTAGGCTTCCCAATAGACTGCCTCTTGCCAGACCATTTCTCCTCAGGGGACGGCTCTCCTCCGTCTACAGGGAGGAGGCTTTCGGTTTCCGACCTCCCCAGTTGAAATGCAACATGTTAGATTAAATTTCCCACGAAGTAAAACTCCTTATTGAGGTTCGCGCCTCTCGTTCCAAATTTGAGTACTCCAAGAGGGTATGGTGGGGTAGTTGCAAGAACACTAATGCCCCAATAGGTTCATATTACTAGAATGTCTTACCCACTACCCTAATAGGGAGAAATGAGGCCATATTTCCGCACAAGCAATGTGGAACAGCGCGGATTCACCATGCGGCGAAAGGCTAAGGTAAAAACTCGCCATCTGCAAAGTTGAACCTTCCCGGCAAGCTACCTCAGACACTACGCACGCGCACGCGTCGCTGGGCGGACGCCGCGCAATTGCCCGCCTCTTCTAGGAGGACTACAAGTCCCGGTTTGCCAGGCGCCGCAGCGTCGCCGGGTAACTCGCGCCAGACGGAGCGCGCTAGGTCAGCTCCTCTATGCGCCTGCGCCCTGCCGGGCTCTGCGCAGGCGCATTTCCAACGCTTGGGAGTTGAGGGCGGGGTGTCGTTCCCTTTCGCTGATGCAAGAACCTAGTGCGGTGGTGGGAGAGGTGTCGGCAGGAGCAGCGCTGCCGCCAGGACCTGGGGCTGACCCGTCCGACTTCCCGTCTTTGCCGAGCCCACTCGAACCGCAGCCATGTCCGGGGACGAGGTGAGGGCCTGAGCCTGGAGCTAGGGCTAGGGATTGAGGCGGGGAGCCGAACCCATTCCTAATGTGGGAGACCGGGCCTGCGGCCTAGCGGCCGGCCGCCATGTGGGGCAGCCGGGCCTAGGCGGCCTGGAGAGGTAGAGTCGGCGAGGAGGACTCCGGAGCCGCGAATTTGGCGGCGCTCCGTTCTCCAGGGCGGCGGCGCTGAGGCAGGCGTTTCCGGAATAGAGAGCAAGTTAAGTCGCCCTCCGAGAAGGGGGCTTGAATTCCGGTTAATGTCCCACCAGAACGAGATTGGAGCTGGCGAATCCTCCATTCCTTTCGATTTGACACTGCAACTGTACCTCTCCTCATCGGGTGCGGAGGGTGCCGATAGGAGCTTCCCTCGGCTCCTGTGGAGTGCCCTCGTTAAAAACTTTGCAGGCCGGCTCGTTCCGGCCAGTATCTGCTCTTATTCTCATCTGCATTATTTCTTAAAAAGACCAGGAGGGTGAGGGAGATAGAACGAGAGGCAAAGATCCTGCAGGTTCAAAAAGGGACTACACTTGGAAAGTTTTAGAGCGGGAGTCGCTGTTTTCCTCAGCAGCTCACAGCGACGGTAGCGGGAAGTCCAGGCTGCGATGCTAGCTGGGATCTTTTCCTACTGTCGTGCTTGTAATTCAGCACATTTTCTCAAGTTCCTTTTGGCCATATTTATCTCAATTCATGTAAAATGAAATCTGATTTTAAGTAGTCAGGTAGGTATTGAGTATCACTGGAGGGTGGCGGGGAGCTACCGCTTACCGGCCAGCTCTCCCCAGCAAATAAAAGATCTTGAATTTATAATTCACTTCTGTATATTCGAGTGCTTGGCTCGTAGGGCCTTGGAAAGAAGGAAGGGGGAAAATCTGAGGCTTTCTTGAGTGTTGACTTTTTGAGGTAGTCCCTGAACGAACCTTAGAATTTCCTCAAGTAGTGGAAAGGCAAGATCACAGCAAGGGAGTGGGTTAAGAAGCCAAGTAAGTGTGCTCACAGAAAGTAGAATATTCTCCAGTTTGGTTGGAGTTAATCCCTTGAAACGCAGGTATTGGCCAGTTCATAAAAGGTTTTAAAGACAAAATTAAAGAATTTGGATTTACTCTGAAAGGGATGCTAATCTGTCATCTCCAACAACCTTATAAGATAGGTATAAACCATTTTAGGGATGAGAAAATTAAGGCTTAGAGTGTTGTATAATGTCCATGATTAAATAGTAAGTGGCTGAGCCAGTCGTAGAATTCCGCATCTATGTAATATTTCCTCCATCTAAGTGACTAGGGAGCTCTTGCTCTCTTAGGAGAGAAACTGAGAGTCTAAAGGAGGTAGGTGGTTCTTGCTAGGGGGTCATGGTAATTTTGCTCTATGCTACTGTATTTCAGAAGTTCTGAGAGGGCAGTGTTTCACGTTTTGTTTCTACCTATTTTCTAAGCTTCTCATAACCTTTAACAAGTAAAGTACTGATGTAGTGCAAGGTACTGTGGGGTGCTATTCTGTGCGTGTGGTAGGGGAGGTAAGGGAGATCTAGTTGGAAGTAGAAATAGAGCCATCAACTTAGAGATTCGGGGGGCTGGAGGATTGTTTTAGTAGTGGGATCAGGTTTTGAAGGAAATGGAAATATGAACAGAATTTCATCAAGCAGAGATGGCAGTACCAGCATTCCAGCAGAGGACTTTTAGAAGCCAATAAAGTATTAAGCAGCTTGGCACTTTTTAGGTCTACTAGTCCGACTTCATTTTATAGACAAGAAACTAAGGCCCAGAGAGGTTAAATTGCCCAAGATCATAACAGCAGTTTAGTGGGACTAGAACCCAGCTTTTGGCTTCCACTCTGTAGGTATGTGAAGGTTCTGATTCCTCCAATTTTGTTGGCTAGATAAGTATTCTTAGGCCAGTCCTTAACTTCTGATTACTTTACAGACTTCTAAGGATCGAGTGAAAATCTGTACTTGAAAATGGTTAAACTGCACACATTTCTTTTTAAACTTAGTAATTAAGCCAAAACTCACCAAAACATAACATGCTTTAACCCAGAGGAACCAAGACGTTTAAAAAGCAGTGTTCTAGCAATTAGGGTGATATCTAGTAAGGAAAAATTTCCTAATCTGTAGGCATTCATTATTTTTCAGACCATGTTTTTAATGTGCTGTCAGTAGTTAAGATTATTGCTTATTACTAAGCCCGTTCACAAGTGTAGAACATCAGGTTTTCACACAACACGGTAAGGCATTTTACAAAAGAAGCTTTAAACTAAAAAAAATTTCTGATTAAAAATGGAATGTGTGTTGCACGAAGTTTACAAAACACAGATGAATACAAAGTGATGTCTTCCAGAGATGACAACACTTGTCATTTGTTCTGTTCACCTTGTTTCTCTGAGTTCTTTTGTAACTCATACCTGCCTTCCTGGTGTGATATATCCATAAAGTTAGGATAAGGTATGATGGATGGGAGTAGGCTTCCAGTTTGATGAAGCACTTTACACCATTGTCAGGATAATTTTTTGCTCCCTTTTCTTTTTCTCACCTCTTCCAACCCAACTCAATGTGGGAAGTTGGAAATGGAAAACTGCTTTTGAAGGTTTTGTTGTGGACTTTTTAAAAAATAATTCAAGAGAGTCTGTGGTTTTTCCATAAGTGCACTGTCATCAACTATTTGCTTCCCAAAAATTAGCCTCATAAAACATTTGGAATATGATAATTTGTTGTCATATATGAAAGTCTTAACCCGTTTTTTTAGTCAAGACTGACATGGCCTGTGGTTTGAGGGAGGTCTACCTTGGGCACTGCTTTGGGATCCCTGGTTTCCTTATTTTTTTAACCCTGATGAGTGGTGTGAATAAAAGGAGGCGATCAGTGTATGTCTTAAGTATCCAGAGACAATAATTAAGAAGGATGTTAATTACTTCAGTGTATAACTCCTGTGTGTTTAATACCCTTCACAAGGCTACAACCAAACTTACCCGGTAGAACTAAATATGATTTTTTTCAGAGGATAAGAAGGCAGTTGCGAGGCTGTCTTCTGATTTCAGGATCCCTCCCATCTTTGGTCTGTCTTGCTGAATACCAGTTAAAAGAATTAATATTCTAAGGCATTTGATACTTGGAAAAATGCAATAAATGAATTGTAAGCCCTGCCAGACAACCAAATTTATAGTGCCTGGAGTACTGTCTGTTCTTTTAACTCCATATTTTAGAAGTGCGGGTGAACTCTGTAGCTTACCTCCCTGGAACAGATGGTAACACTCCATGTAGGGTGACCCCATGGTCCAGTAGGTTAGCAGTGGGGAACTCCTTCCTCTTGGCTCTTCTATTCTTGTAAAGTTTGCCTAATTATGTTCTTCAGACTGGCTGCATTTCAGAATCATTCATTTATACAGATCTTTATTAAGGTAGGAAGGGGTAACTTTGAAATGAGGCTGTATCAATTTCCAGAATGTCTTATGGATCCTTCTCTGTTGGGTGAGGGTGATAACCACTCTACCTCCTTACAGACCATTGTTTGGTTTCAGTGTATCTCAGTTTCTGTAATGTACTAAAGAAATTTAAGCTAACTAGAATCAATTTTGGGAATTTTTTTGACAGTTTTATGACACATCTTGGATATTAAATCACCCTGAGTTGATGGAATTTCACTAATAGGAATGAGAGATACCATGCTTTGTGAACTGTAAAGAATTATATAAATTATGATAATAATTGCTGGCATTATTGAGTACTTTTGTGCCAGGCACTGTGTTAACTTTTATATATATTTACTCATTTAATACTTCCAGTAACCTTGTGAGCTTTAGTTTTGGTTCTGCTACTGATCTTTATTTTACAGTGTGGCATGGAGAGGGCAAGAATTTACTTGGGAGTAATATAAATAAGAGCCAGAGTCAGGATTTGAATTCAAGCAGTTGCACTCCAGACCTGTGCTTTTAAACGCTTCACTGTCACAGCAGATCATTGGGCAAAGTGCTGAATTTAAGCACGGTAGAATGTGGAAAAGGATTGGTAAGGGGCTTAGAGGGGCTTGGGATTTGAATCCAGTTGTGTTTAACTCCAAAGACCTCATTCTTTCAACATTATCGTCATCTGCCCAATATGTTGTTTAAACGTCTAAAATAACTTCATCTGCATTTTTTCCTAAGTGATCAGTACAGATAGTTTATAGGAAGTTATAAATTAGTTTTTCACTTATTCTGTAGTGGACATTAGATAAAAGTAACCTAAGAAAACTTTTAATGTTCCAGAAACAAAAAAGCAGAGTAAAGACTGTCTAGAAGTTTCTCTTACTCAAATAGAGATTTGCTATGTGACAGGTTGCTGATGGATTTCTGTAAGAGTTTGTCTGAAGTTCGGGATACAATTTTTTTTTTTTTTAGGTCAAGTCTCCTGATATAGCAACCCCAAGTTGCCAACCTTAAATAAAACATGTTTAACCTGCCTAGGTATTGGTTTTCTCATCCATAAAGTGAGCGGCGTGACATGGGTTATTGCTAAGGTCTCTTCCAATGAATTCCATTATTATTCAACATAAAGTCTCCAGATTTGCTCATAAAGTTGCTGTATCTTGTGATAATTTACAAATTGAAAGGCAGGTACACATGTTTAAGGATCACCTCCCTCCCCCCCCACCATGTTTAATAGTATAAGGAAGAATGGATAGACTTTTTTTTTTTTTAAAGAAAAAGTAAGATTTATTGAAAGTACATTTTAGAAGGAGATGGGCCATGCTAAGGAAGGCTGTAGCCCTGTGGAATTTGGAAGGTAAAGACATAAGACAGTAGGCCTCAAAGGGAGGAGCAGGTCTTCGTAAGGAGCGCTTTCATGCATCAAATACTCTTACTTTTAAGAGTGCCTTTTGACTCCTGAAAATTATATAATTGTATTAACCAATGTTGCCCCAATAAACTTAATTTTTAAAAAGTGCCTTTTGAGAATACAGCATATTTGGAATGTGAGCATCATTAAAAATAATAACATGGTCCTTTTTTCATTGTCTTTTAAACAGATGATTTTTGATCCTACTATGAGCAAGAAGAAAAAGAAGAAGAAGAAGCCTTTTATGTTAGATGAGGAAGGTGATGCCCAAACAGAAGAAACCCAGCCCTCAGAAACAAAAGAAGTGGAGCCAGAGCCAACTGAAGACAAAGATTTAGAAGCCGATGAAGAGGACAGTAGGAAAAAAGGTGAGTGGTAGAAGTGAAAGAGTCCCTGTTTTCCTGGGATACCTGGTTCTCTTCCATTGGTGTTTGGATTTTGTGCATACAGTGATCTCTCAGCCTGATAAGGCTGTTCCAGTGAAGTTGAGGCCATCAATAGTCTGTGTGCGCTGGACCTTGTTGGATTTCTGATAGACTTATTCTAGAGAAATTCTCACAGAATCTACAAGTGTCACAAAACCTTTTTATTCCAGGGCTGGTTTTCCAGTCTAACCTGTCAGGTCTCTTCTCCAGTTTTAATGGTGGTTGTATTTAAGTGTAGGCAGAAAGAAGTAGGACCAAGATAGTCAGTTTGTGTCTTAGCAAGTCTGAAGATGTATAGAAAAGATTAAAATTACAGCCTAAAATGTTTTAGTTTAGACACCAACATTGGTTATTCACTCTTGTGCTCTAACAGATACCATTTCACTATTAGAAATAAATGATTCTGTAAACATAATGTCTTTTGACGTTATGCTGGAGATAGAACTGACATTCATTGAGCATCTACCATTTGCTAAGCTTTTATATGTTTAAAACGAACTTGGAAAGTAAGTCATTTTTGTAATAAGACAAAATGAATTCATAAATAGCTCCTCGAAAAACTGTAGCAGAGGGATCCTAAAATATTCATAGTTTACAGTAGAGCAGAACAAATGGAAAACTTATTGAACAGAACCCATTATTAGTCACTAATGGAGGACAAAATTTAATTTTATTCTTGTTGTAACTTTAATGGATGTGAAATACTTTATAAGGTCTTGTGATTGGTTCAATAACATGTTGAGCTAGACATTAGGATTTAGGGGGAAAAGGTATGGCTTCTCAGTATCTTGTACAGAGATAGATAAGCAAGCCAGTAAATAACTAACCTCTGTTGGGGTGACAGGAGGTACTACTGAAGCACCTAGGAGACACCTAATCCAACTGGGGACAAGGAGGGATAGGCTTAGAGAAAACTTGGTGGAAGTAACTTCTCACCAAGATCCTGTGAGATGAATTGAAAGTAAGTGCTATGTAGGAGAGGTCATGGGAAGGCTTGGAGGTGAGAGACCACACACACTGCACTAAGTGAAGTTGTTCAGATGGGCTGGAACCAGGGATTAAGGTATGAGACCTGAGATGGTAGGTGGAAGTGGAGAGAGAAAGCTGAAGAGCCTTGGAAATTGTGTTAAAACCCTGACTTTATGTTGGGTACAATGAGGCACAATATGGTTGAATTACTAAATAAATATTCTTAACATGGTCCCCTAACTAGATTTTTCCTACATACCTTTGAGTTGGCCTGCCATTGTGTTTCTCAGAACCATAATGTTGTTGTTGTGGAACCCACTTTACTAATAAATATCCGATCTCTCTGTTGGTGACTTGATTAATTAATAGTGAAATGTTGGTTTAACTCATAATTTGATGCTTTGCCTTCTGGTTGTTAATAATTGATAATCTCAATTATCTGTCTTTTTAGATGCTTCTGACGACCTAGATGACTTGAACTTCTTTAATCAAAAGAAAAAGAAGAAAAAAACAAAAAAGATATTTGATATTGATGAAGCTGAAGAAGGTGTAAAGGTAGTATTGCTTTCTTGTTGAAGGTAAAATTTGACCTCTTGATAGGTTGCTAAATGGCTTATGTTTCTCCCTCTTTGCTTTTGTTAAGTACTTGATCACAACTGTTAAGGTCATTTTCTTGGTATTGTGTCTGACTAGGTACTTTAAAGGCATAATGGTTCAAAGGAATGTAAATATAGGTTTTATACATTGTACTGTGTGTCTTTATGATTCCAAATGATTATAAAATGCTTGTCATCAACCATATGGAGATTGGCTGAGGGAGAGGTATTTCTGTGATAAATCCTGTGAAGTAAATATTCTAATGGTTTTTTCTGTTAAACTTTTGGTAGCATGTTGACGATACACAAATTTATGGGTACCCCTGAGCAGCAAAGAATGAACCCCCAGCCTGTGGTAATTGGCGGCTAATGATCTTAATGGCCTGTAGCAGAACCAGAACACTCAGGATGGTTTTATGGAGTTCTCTGATCTTGTAGGTTGTCTTATTACTGAATTGATTTCCAAGACAGAGATCTCAAAATTCTTTTGAACAAGTAGATAGAAGAGTGGTAGATAGGTAGATAAATAGGAGGATGGGTGGAGGAAGGAGCTGAAAGTCTGTTCTTCCCTTATTTTAAAGACCCTGTCCAGGAATCTTGAGCAGAGCTCACACATCACTTTATAAAATCCAGGATGATAGTAATTTTATGGATACACAGAGAAAGAGCAAGAGTTGAGACTATACATGCACTAAGTGTACTATTTTGTGTCCTCTACCCAAATTTTTCTTTGGTAAATAGTTTATTTGCTCAAACTCAAGAAAACAAGGTGTATCCCACATGTTGCAGGAGATGTATACAGTAATACATTGAGTTTTAGGAACAGTGTCACAATTTTGATGACTTGATTAATTCAGCACATATGTATTGCTGATTACAGTGAGTCAGACATAAGTGTGGGTAACCTGAGGACTCTGCTAATGACTAGCCTCTGAAGTGAGGGACAGTCTAATGGGACTTAGCCCTTAAACTTGTGGAGTCAGTCATTGACTTCTGGTAGTATCAAAATTGAATTGAATTGTAGGTCACCTAGTTAGTGTTGGAAAGTTGAAGAAGTGGTGTGGAAAAACACCATGTATTTGGTATTAGAAGGAAAAAACCCTCCTAATGACTGCATCAGAATATTTAGAAACTTCTTTAAAATACTCCTGACCCCTGTTCCTTTTAAAGATTGCCATTCAGAAGATTTGAGAATCTTTAAAAACTTTCCTAGGCAATTCTGACAGTGGCCTCGTTTAGAAACAGACAATAATTTTTAAGATTTCAAGACCGATAGATAAAAGAAAGGAAAAGATCCCACAAAACTGTTTTGAAGAATTTCCAGTTTAAATGGCAGACTCTGAGCCATTTTGGGTTACCTGTGAGAGACATTTCTTCCATAATTTCAGTTTTGAATATTTAATTTTTTCCCTCTAAAAGGATGTCAGCCCATGTAATTAAAAAAAAAAAAAGTCCTAGTATCAAGATATTGTAACTCTTATCTCAATTTCTTAGGATATGAAGATTGAAAGTGATGTTCAAGAACTGGCTGAACCAGAGGATGACCTTGACATTATGCTTGGCAATAAAAAGAAGAAAAAGAAGAATGTCAAGTTCCCAGATGAGGATGAAATTCTAGAAAAAGATGAAGGTAATATTGGGGCTCAGCATCTGGTTTGTAGGTTACTCAAGCCTTTGGCCTAGGTCTCTTTGATAAGCAGACTCTTTTATTTTTTCTTGCTCTATATTTCCACCAATAAGGGAAGCTAAAAGGAAATAGTATCTAACTTGATAAAGATCTTAACTGTATCTAACAGTTAAAGATTTCATTGGGGAAGAATTTGGCAGTCGTGATTCCATTAAATCAAGGATTTTGGTGATTGGGAAAATTACCGTAACTGAATTTTAAATAGTGTTAAATTTTTTTTTACTATTTTGTTAAAATGTTCTTTTATTAGTTCCTAAGTGCTATAAAGTCTTAAGAGAACTTTACTGTAGTCAGCAGATGGATTTTTATGGATGTGGATATTTCTTAAGTTCTTCAAAACAGTTGGATGTTTTTTCCTCTGATTATCTCAGTGCATTATTTTACCTTGTGTTTGTCAAATCAAAAAACAGTTCAGTGTGTATCTGTTAGCACAGATTCCTAATGAGAGAGGTCTCCATTAAGGGTTGTTAATGAAAGTTATAACATCCCTGTCTTTAAGGAATAAGAGATTGTGAACCTTGATGCCTTATGCTTGAGGCTGTCGTGAATGCATTTCTGGGAAGGAAGACAAATATCTCTGAAGCTTTCATTTCTCTAGCTCTGCCTGTACCCCTCATTCTTACAGTCTTTATTATCCGTAGCTTTAGAAGATGAGGACAGCAAAAAAGATGATGGTATCTCATTCAGTAACCAGACAGGCCCTGCTTGGGCAGGCTCAGAAAGAGACTACACCTATGAGGAGGTAAGACAAATTGTGTTATGAAAGGGGCTAAGCTGTTCACTAGAACTCAAAGAAAGCAAGATAAATGTACCCTGAATTGGAAGGGCCATTGAACTATATAGGTTGATAGTGAAACAGACCCAGAGAGGTCACACAGCCAGTGTACAATATTGCGTGGTGCCTGCGTATGGGGCAGCCTGCCCAGAGTGTAGCAGTCATAGTGCTCACTGTTTCATCTGAATCCATAATTTCTAAGGATGTAGAGCTCCCTGGAATGGGGAGGGTGGGAAGTGGGGAGAGGAAGTGGCTAATTCGGGGCCAGGATAGTCTGGAGTTTGCTTATTTGAACTTTCCTGAATCTTAACTTTTCATTGTATCCTATACTTTCCCATAGAAACAGCAGAATTAGTAAGGGCTCATTCATTCGTTTAACTTTGAAAAAGGAATTGCTGAGCTTCCATAATGGACCAGATCCTTGTTGAGAATTGAATCTTGCTGTCAAGGAGCTCCCAGAACATGCAATGATATGTGTGTTAATATAGTAAAAAGTGAAGTTTGTACTAGCTTAAAGGTAAAGCAAAGTGACTCAAGTGGGAACTTCTGCTATTAATAAAAATGTACATGAATACCACTTTATCTCTATAGCTACTGAATCGAGTATTCAACATCATGAGGGAAAAAAATCCAGATATGGTTGCTGGAGAGAAAAGGAAATTTGTCATGAAACCTCCACAGGTCGTCCGAGTAGGAACCAAGAAAACTTCTTTTGTCAACTTTACAGATATCTGTAAACTGTAAGTTGGTTAATGGAGAGTCTCCACCTCAAATATCAGATTGGTAGTGGAATTTATGTTAAAAGTCCTTATTGTGGACTTTATTGCAGGTAGAAAGAGAGAAAGCACAATTGTTGGGATTGGGTTGAAGGAGGTCACAGTTAAAGTCCATCAGTTCTTTCAACTCACAGGTCTCAGGGCTGCTCTTATCAGGCATCCAGAGGTGAGAGAAGCCAACTCGTGCTAATACATGAGAGTATATCCTAATCAGATGGAGTAAAGAGTGATGAGGCTAGTTGTAGTCTTCAGACCAGGAACCTGGGGAGCCCAGGGAAGTGGAAAAGCTCTTTAGGCTGGAGTGGGCCTGCCAAGCAAGTGCAAACAGTGAACTCTGGGAAAGCAGCTAAATTTGGTATGCTGCTGCTTTGATGGTCATTGCTAAGACCTAGTCGAAGAGATTTCAGCTTTCTCAATTACTATAACATTCCATACCTGTCTGTCCCACCCCAAGGTCACTGTCTGGGCCTGGCTCTTCTCAGCTCCTCAGCTGTACCTTTTCTAGCAGGTTCCTTAGAGCCACTGACCTTATCTATCGTTCTTCAATTTCATAAGTGATACATGCTTGTTTCAGATAAAAGGAAAAACGGTAAACAAAAAAGAGAATAATCACTAAAAATTCCACCATCTAGAGAGAACCACTTATTTCCATTGCTTAAAGGCACTACTTAAAAGATTTTAGATTTTTTGCAGATGGCAACAGTATGTGCCTATTATAGAAAATATAGACATGCTAAAGAAAAAGTCCTCTCTAAGTCCACCATTAAGAGATAGGTAATCAGTTGAATATTTTTATGTTTAGCTAGTTTTATGCATATAAATATTTTAAAATAAGGTATACTGGTTTTTAACTTATTTTTCTCTTAATGTATTGTGAAGCTTTTATGTCATTAGTTTTTAGTAGCTATATAGCATTCTAACAGTTTTTTAGTTAGGCATGGTTGCTCCCAGGTTTTCATTATCAGAGGCAAAGCTTCAGGGTATATCATTATACATGTATCTTGGCTGTAACTCAGAGTAGAGCCTTAGGGCAAAAGTTCCCAAAATGGAGTTGCTGAGTCAAGGAATGGATATTTCTATGGCAAACTTTGGCAAATTACTTTCCAGCAGGCTTGTACCAATTTGTACCCCTATTAGCAATGTTGTAAGAGCTTACCTGTTTCATTATACTTTTACCAACCTTCACTCATTACATTTTGGGAAAAAAGTAACTTTTGAAAATTGTAATAGTAGTGTCTGGTTATTGGAACAAATTCAAACAATTAAAAAGTGAAAATATTGAATGGCATTGCTCTGGGTTTGCTTTTTTTCATTTTATATATGTGCATCTCTCTCTTTTTGGTATATCAAGGCCTGTCATGTTCTAAAAGCAGGATTGAATGGATGTACCATAACCACTTCCTAGTTGAATATTTAAGCAGTTTCCAATTTTCCTGCTGTTATGCTGCCATGAAATACTTCTATATATATATTCTATTTTTTAATTAAAAATTTCCACCAGGAAATATATTGGAATTAGCATAACAGAAACCCAAGTATCTTATTGCTTAGGTTTGGTGTATTTTGACCTTTTGACACATTTGCTTCTGGTCTTTAAAAAGAGGGTTTTACAGTTACAATTAAAGCCATCTTTTTATCTCTTCTACCTTCCCAGAAAAAGATGTTATCCTCTAAAGTTGGTGTTTACCTTTCCTGTCCATATTTCTAGACATTCACTCATATGTATGTATTTATAAATAACATGTAATAGTTTTATGGACCTTAAAATGTAAATAAATGGTATCATATATATCTTTATTTCAGAGTTTGATGAACTGTGTGCTAAAATTCACCTAATAGCTGAGTAATTACAGATTGAAACTGAACAGGATGGTTTTTTAGAAGTTTGGTTAGATTTCCATGAAAGATAAGGTTTATATATTCCACTTTATTTTTAGATTACATCGTCAGCCCAAACATCTCCTTGCATTTTTATTGGCTGAGTTGGGTACAAGGTAAGAAACTATATTTACATTTATGTATAATTATATACAGTATTACTGGACATTTCATAAGAACTTCTCTTAACTCAAAAGATATGTAACCTGATTATCAGGAATTTTTAGGCCAGTGAAGGAGGGAAATCAGTTCATTTCTATGGGAGAGCTTGGCTGTTTGGGAATAGGGAACAGAATTAACAGTGGCTCATCCTAACAGGCCTGCTGGCGTATCAAAATGAGTACTATGGCGCTGCCATATTTTAGAGTTCCCTGTCATTAATTGGAATTCTTGGGTCCTTTTATGGAGCAAATACTAAATTTCAGAGGAAGCCATTTTCTTAGGTCAGAATTTCTTTTCTAAATTTGTTAATAGGCTGTTGATGAAATGCAGCTTATAAGTTGATGAATGGCACAGGAGAAACATTGAAACAGGGATCCATAATTGGTTACTTCCCTGTCTTCAGGGCTCACCTGTTGGAGGCACCGACCTAGTCCATCCCCATTCAGGGAGGCCAGGATCTCGGAGTTTGACCATAAGTGCTAGGAAGCCAAATGTCCCTTTAAAAATAAATAATGTAGACTCGGGACACAATGATGACTGACAACATACTGAGTATTGTGTTCCAGGCACTGTGTCCGGTACTTTTTTGGGTACCATCTCAGTCTTTACAACAGTGCTACAAACTGTTAGTAGAAACTAATATTATCTATCTAAAAGATTTGGAAACAGGTTCAATGAAGTGAAGTTGTTGGTCATATATAGCTAGTTAATGACAGTCAATATGCAAACTTGGGCCTGCCTATCTCAGGAGCTCTTAACTGTGTCTCGCTGGCAGTAAGTACAGAGATAAGTAAGGTGTTCTATTCTCTTCCTACTGTTAAACTCAGTTTGTTGGAATTGGCTATCCCTGCTGTGGAGTTAAGGAGTAATTTACTTGACCAGTGGTATATAATTAGGCTCTGTTGTAGAAGAATTGTTTTACATGTAAATTTGTTATTATCATTGTTTTTAACTTACATAAACTAATGGAGTAAAAGCTAGCAGTGTTTTTCCTACTTCTCAGAATAACTTTTTATAGAGTTGGGGTAAATTATAACAAGTTGTGACCAGTGAACTTAAGATCAATGGGCTAAATATAGGGTTGTTGAGAAAATTCAATTTCTTTTGATAGTGAATGAAAAAAAAAATCCTACATTAAGCCTTGGAATAACTATAGCCTGGAGATTAAGGTTACAGTCCATGGAGGATAATAAACCCTTATAGTTAAAGGAGAATCACAAGAGAGGTTCTTATAAAAGTCAGTTTTACAGTGAGATATCGAACAAACATAAATTTAATCTACCCAGCTGAATTTTGTTGTTTCAGTCAGTTTATATGACTGAATCAAATATTTGATGTTTAGAATTTTCAAAGATATCTATAGCTCCTTTCATATTTTTATATTTATAGCCCCCTTATTACTTTACATGGTATACATTCAGTAAAAGTGTGTTTTTCTTTGTTGGATGAATAGGCTGTCACACACATTTAAGGAATTGATTTTAGATTTAAAAATCATTTATAAATCTGATTTGTTGCTGGACACTTAGTTGAAATTTGGGTTTAATGTTAGGAAATATGGATAGGTACTATTTAATTAAAATAAATTTTTCGAGAAACCAGGTAGTATAGCACTGCTTCTAGAACTATCTCTATGCCATTGAATATATTTTAAATTCCTTAAATGTAAAGGTCCTGGAATTTGGTCCCTTACAGGTAAAAACAGTAGTAATGAGGATATCTTTGTTTTCTTTCATAGTGGTTCTATAGATGGTAATAACCAACTTGTAATCAAAGGAAGATTTCAACAGAAACAGATAGAAAATGTTTTGAGAAGATATATCAGTAAGTATAATTTTAATACATCACTTTGAAATGCTCTCATTAGGCAGTAGTATTTGGGGGAGAGCCACTGGTTTATAATGGAGCTGGAAAGGCTGGCCTTAAAAGATGAGGGAAAATGATAGTGTTGGGGAGGTGGGGCAGGCAGCCGAGGGGTTTGTATTTCCTAAGAAGGCCTAGCCAATCAAGGCTGCTGGTTGGTTTCAGGCCAAGTCAGAGAAATCTGTCTGCATCCAGGCCTGACCTGCCTTTATCTTCCTAATCACTTAAAATTGGCAGATCACTTCTCACCTAGGAAAGCTAGTAAGTTTTCTGAGTGGCTCTCCTGTGGAAAAACTAGGAGTATGCATCTGGCAAGTGTTCCTGCTTCCTTGGACATTTGGAGTCTTTTCAACCCATGGTTTAGTACCGCAGCAGACAGCTTATGTTTCCATACCCTAGAATAGTTTAGTTATAAACTTACTAATAAGTTTAACTTCCTTGGTCTGGGTGCACCCTGGGCTTGTAGAGATCAGTGTAAAAGTGTTTCAGAGGGAAGAAACCTCTGGCTCAGTGTGGCTACCAGGTAATTCTGCATGTTGCTTTCCCTGCAGAGGAATACGTCACCTGTCACACATGCCGATCACCCGACACAATCCTGCAAAAGGACACCCGACTCTATTTCTTACAGTGTGAAACTTGTCATTCTCGATGCTCAGTTGCCAGCATCAAAACCGGCTTCCAGGCTGTCACGGGCAAGCGAGCACAGCTCCGTGCCAAAGCTAACTAATTTGCTAATCACCACTGATTTTGCAAAGTGTGTTGTGGAGATTTGGCTGGACAGGTTTACCATCAGAGTGGATATACCATTGTATTAAAAACAAGATAAAAAAGCTGCCAAGCTCTGGCGTGTGGCTGGTTGGTCTGAAATCCTTGCAAGATGCCAATGCTCAAGCTGTTGACATACTCATTGCCTCCTTTAACAACTGTCAGAGAAACATGATGGGTAAGGCGGTGCTTTTTTAAAATCGTTCATAGACTTCTGTAAAATGCAAGATAAATTAAAGTTATTATAACAGTGATTCTTTCAATTTGGTTTGTCCTTCAGTTTCTTTTCTATAAAAATTGTGAATTCAGCAAAAACAGTTTGTGCCTGGGCTCTGGCGAGGTTTCTATATCCTTGTCCTGAGAAACTGGACACTGGCAGGGCCTTCAGCTGGGCAGCCGTTTTCCTCTCAGCTTCTCTTGAGATACAATAAGTAGACACAGCTTCACATGAGAACGTAGTTGGAGCATGAGATCTGGGAGGACGTCCTGTTTTCATTGTCCAGGGAATGATTAACATAGGTTTGAATTCTTTTCATTATGTGAGGATTGTTGCTACTACCTCACTGCCAAGTCCTCCGGCTATCAATCACCACATGAGGGAATATAAGGTGCTAGGTACCCTCCCTCAGAATTTTTTTCCTTATTGGCCACTAAGAGAATCTTAGAAACATAGCCTCAAAGTGTGTCTTATAATTGGCACACTAAGAAAAGCCCAAGTTGTACATCTGTTGGCAAGTAAGAGATGTGGCATGTGCAGTGCAGAGAACTCTTCTGCGAGTCTAAACCATGATACTAGAGGAAGTTTTTCCTCCCCAACTTGTATTCTGGGTTTGAAAAGGCCCACCACAAATGCTTTTTCTTTTTTTCTGTATTAAAGTGTCTTGAATGTGACCATGAGAAACCAAGAGGTAATGCCTATGTAGTGCTTCTGGTGCCTCTAGTTCTGCCTTCTGAGGATTTGGCTGAAAGGGTATTTCTCCATTGAACATGGGGGAAAGATCATCATATGTCTGTTGTGATCTGCCTTGCACGCATCTGCCGAGGAGGATAAGGGCGTAATCCTGCTCCTCACTTTCTTGTTGCAAGACTAATCCTAAGTGGCCCAGGAGCAGTCACTCACTCAGCCCTGAATGTCTTGACCATATTGTTTTTAATCACTGTGACCCTTAATTTTAAAGTAAAAGCCAAATGTTACAAAACATCTTGGCCATGAAGTGATGGAGGGAGCAGAGCATTCCTTCAACCTATTAGGTCCTAAGGGGACCACACACTGGCTGAGCTGCCACCACTGCCCTGATGAACTCAACTGCTGTTTATAATGCCATCTTCCTTCTTTTGTATCAACGTCCACACAATTCCCAATGTCGGATGTTACTGCGTGAATAAAGCAAGGATCAGTGCCTCTTGTGTAATTAGTGCTCCATTACTTTTGTATGTTTGTGTGTTTTATTACTTTAGGGGGACCCCTTAGGGGAAGACAGGAGTTTACAGTTTGATGACAGGTTGGCACAAGTTGTTGGCAATTTACCCATTTTTAACTTCTCAAAACATTCTCTGAACTGATTCTGACTCTAAGATAAGTCCAGTTGAGGTATTGTTTGGTTAAAGTGGATCAAATATATCAAACCCATTCAAAATGGTGGGTTACCCTGGGTTACCCATTCACACTAGAATCAGCTTCCTTTCTGTCTCTACCTCACACCAACCACAGCTCAGCTGGAAGGAACCTTCTGTGGAGTGATAAAGCAAAGGCATTTATTTGAGGGTTTCTGATCACTTTCTTGTGTGAAGCGAACCAGTCTACTGTTTTCAGCGTCAGGAAACAGTGTTGAGGAATACTCCTAATTATGCAAAAGGGAAAAGAAGGGTTCCATGGTAAAGAAAAGTTTGAGACTAGACAGCTTCCATGACTGCCTAAGTCTTTAGTTTGTGATGTGCATTTACATGAGCATGTGAACATGCAGTGATCTCTAGTCTTTGGAAAACCATCCTGATTCCATACCCATACCTAACCCCACCTATAGTAAAATTTAGCTTGTCCTAGGGTATCTTCCTGGCTCACCCATACTTCAGAGGTCCCAGCCACTGTAAGTAAAGTATTGTTTCTCCCAAAGCCTACCATGTCAGTGCTGAGAGCAGAGTTTTGTTCACTCGTGTGTCCCCCAGTCTAAGAGCAAGCAGTGTAACTGGCAAGTTGTAGGTGTTCCAATATTTGAGTTTCTTTAAAAGCATAGAATATGCAGGATTTTGTAGCCCCCAACCTCTACCCCACCCCAAACATCCTACAGGATAAATGCAGAAATAATGCTGTGCTGTACAGCCTAGAAGAAGTTCTGTGGTGTGTGAGGTACCAGCTCTAACCTGGGCTGCCCCAACCAGATTGTTGGCCCTGGCAATGCTAGGGTTCCATGTTTGAACAAAATAATAGATTTTGCAATGTATATTTTAAAAGTTGGGTTTTGTAGCATGAGGTGTTCTTTTTTTCATTGAGAACATTAACAGTCTGGAGTGACAGTCTTCCTCTGCCATTTATATCCTATGTTCTCATCCTCACCATCACCATAAAAATGTAAACAATACCTGTAGTTTTTAGGATCTGTACATTTGGCAGGGCCACCTTTTGGGAAAAGGGATATGCTTACAAGTACTATCAGCCATAGAGACTCTGGCCCTCTCACTCTGAAAATTCAGACTAAGGGAAGTATGCAACAGAAGGAAAGTAGTTCCATGTGCCAGGTAGGCCTAGGTTAAACACAACATACACTGTCTTACCATTTTTATGGGTTTACTGACTTCCTATTGCTCTTGGGAAAGTTGCCTGCCTCACAGCAATTCTGATTAACCCTGCCACTCTTGGCAATCAAACTCTCCCAAGGATCTGCAACAGAGAAATAGTGCTTGGAGTTTTGTCACATTGAATGGTGGTACTCGAGAGAAGAAAGGATCAAGCACCTGCTGGGTACCCTGTGGCTGCCATGGCTCTTGTCGTTTCTTACCTTTCCTGATGCTGAGATATTCCTGAAACTTTAATCACTGCCACCTTGATTTAAGCTTGACTTCTATTTTATTAATACATTTGAAGCCATTGGAGGACTAGCTGTTCTAAGAAGTAAGTATTAACGGATATTCTTCATGTTAAACACCACCATTTTAATGGGCATCTTTTAAAATTATATTCAGCTGTAGATTTTCATGAGCTTTTAAATGAGCCAGAAACCAAATCAAAGCTAAACTACTTCATGGGAAGTTGGCCAAACCTAATCATATAGTGGGCCAACAGCTTCAGTATCATAACTATTTTGGCTTCACAGAATTGATTGCTTCATTTTTTCAGTCCCAAGTATACCAGTGCACTATGAATTATCATTTACATAAGTGGCTAGCAATACCAAAGCCCCTGCTCTAGGTGCTAGGCCCTGCTCTAGATGCTTATACATAGATTTACTCATTTAATCAGCACAACAACCCTTTGAGGTAAGTATACTATTACTCCCATTTTACAGATGAGACTCAGGATAAGCAATTTGCTCAAGAGGTCACATAGCTAAGTGGGGAACATGGATGCAGTCCCAAGCATCTGGGCTCCAGAGCCTGTGCTCTGCCTCTGCAATGCTGCCTCACTTGACAGTATCATATATTCAAAAGTATTACCTAAATGCCTACAGCAAAAAGCAGGAGCTAGAGTCTAGTGAAAATGACAGATGAGCAAAATATAACCTGGTAAGAGCTCTGAAGGGCACACAGGAGGGGCCAGTGTTAACACAGGCCAGGAAAGTGTCTGCAAAGGTGACTTCTGAGCTGATAATGTAAGTAGTGGGAGAAGATAAAGAGCATTCCAGGTAGAGGCAACAGCGCAGACTAACGCTCAGAAGCCAGATAGTTCTTTCCACAATTAGTTCCATGTGGCTTCAGAATAGGGCAGACTGGGGAAGGGGAGGTTTGAGTTAAGAGAGAAAGGAAGGGGTCAGATCCTAGAGAGCTTATATGCCATGCTAAGGGGTCTGGAATTTACTTACTGGGCAGTGAATAAACTGATGGTATTAAAGAGGAGAGGCTGATGGGTGGTAGGCAGAAGGGAGACTAGTTAGGAGGTTATTGTGAAAGTCTCAGAGGTAAAAAGGGCCTAACCTAAGGCAGTGGGATGAAAAATGGGTTAGAGCCAAGATATACCATGGAAAAATTAACATGACTTACAATTAGGGAAGAGCAGAAGATGCTGACTTAAGCGACAGGGTGGACAGTGGTGCCATTCCCTAAGATGGGAGATTAAGGAAGAAAAATAGAAAAGGCAAGGCTCAGCTGAGTTCCTTGTGGACATCCAAATGCAGCTATCAGATGGGCATCTGTATATATATCCTGATACTTCTGGGGAGTACTAAGTTAGAGGTGGATATCATTGGAGGCATATGAGTCTGGAGTCTGAAGCCATGGTTTGATCAGCCAGGTAGCTGTACAGAAAAACTAAAGGTGGAGAGGTGCTGGCATAATAGGAAGTCAGCAAAGTGAGTGTGCAGAGGAGGAGGAGAGCCAAGAAGACTGCTGGTCACAAGAAGCAGAAGAGGAATTTCAGGGAGTTGTTTATGATGGGCACATGGGAAGGGACTACCCAGGTTTTCATCCTGCCTCTACCTTCTTCCAGGTGACGTGATCTTGGGCAAATTATTCAACCCATAGTCTCTATTTCTCAATCTATAACATGAAATGAGTATCTCCAATTCTGTGGAACTGTTGTGAAGGTTAAATAAGATAATGCAATCTGTGTTGAAGAACTTGGCAGAGCACCCAGGAAATGGAACATTATACATATGTTATACCCTCTTTCTAGGGTCTAATGCTGCAGGGGTGGAGTATAATTAAGAACACAAAGGTAGGTGCTGGATTGGATTGTTTGCATTTGCTCCAAAATTATTTAGTTGACCATGACCAATTCTTTTGAGAACCTTTCTAGGCAAGGATAAATCAGAGTCCCTGGCCTTAGGCAGCTCCCTGTTGGTAAGGGAGCTGGACATTAGGGTGATACAGATGCTGAAGGTGGAGTTTGAAGGGCAAAAGGGGGCTTATTATTAGAAAGGACTGGAGGGTAGGTAAGAAATGGAGTCCAGGTCAGAAAGTGAAATTGGGTGACCTTATCCTTGTACCCAGAAAAGGCAAACCCATGCACTTACCCATCAAGACCTAGCTACTACACCTTTCTGGAAGGACACCCTGATCATCTGGGCTCCCACAGGAGGTATTCTGAGGCAGGGGTGCAGGGAGTGGGGTATGTGTGAACTAGGAGCCCACTCACCAGTCAGAGGAGAGAGGCGTCTTGTTCATTCATACAAGCAGGAGGGCCAGCTGGGCTTGCTCCATGGGCCTAATGACTGGACCAACACACTGCTTTTGACTCCAGTAACTCATACACATCAGAATGCCAACAAAAGGCCTTCTTGTTATCTTCCTTTGCCTCATTTTTATAAGACTTTTTGTTTGTAAGCTGCCTGAAATACATTTTGGAACAAGGTGAGGATAAAAATAAATAGGGAAAAAAAAGGAAATTATGGTGTTATTTTTTAAGAGAAAAATTACCTGAATCTGAATTAGATGATAAGTGCTCTCATTTATTAAGTATTGTTATATAAAGATGTACTTTTTTTTTTTCAGGTAAGAAAGATGAGGCTCAGAGAGGTTAAGTGACTTGTGTGGTCACACAACAAGTAGTCTGGGTAGGAACTCAGTTCAATCCAGTCCCCCTAAAGTAGAGCAAGCTGCATAAACTCTTTTGAGTCTTAAAATCACTCTAAAACTTAATGGCTGACAACAATCACTTAGCACCCCTCATCGTGCTAGGCTTTGGATTCAGTAAGGCAGTTTTAACTTGGTTCTGTCAGTGGCTAAGCTGGAGTCATCTTGAAAGCTTCTTCATTCATGTCTGACAGCTGATACTTGCTGTCAGCTGGAACACGTACACATGGCCTCTCCATGTGGCCTGGGCTTCTTCACAGCATGGTGGCTGGGTCCCAAGGCACAAGAAGTGGATACTGCTAGTTCTTACGAACAGGACTGAGAGGGTGGGATATCATCATCATCACTGTACTCTATTGATCAGTCACAAAGCCGGATAAAAGAGAGAGGATATAGATATTTGTCAATGGGGATATGTTTTAGAACCTCCATATTTATAAACTTATAAAATGGGCATAATCACACAATTAGGACATGTTTCTATCAGTCCAAGCCTCCTTTCTTTCAGCAACAGAACTCATATTTTCCTTTTGGAGATTTTCCCCTCTCTTCCTCCACCCTCACAGACCCTGGACTTTTCCATTTGTGAAACTAAATTTCCTCCTCCTTAAGGTTTGAGTTCAGTATCTATAACTAATAACCACAAGTTCACACTACATCCACCTAAAGGGTGATTGTGGAGATTAAATAAGTGTAAAACATGCCGTTTAGCATGTATTCAGAAAGTGGTTTACTGTTATTATGGAATAATTTTATTATGAAGAATGTGGCCACAGGTGGAGAGATTTTGATTTACCCAAAGTTAATCAATGGCCCCACTGGAATTCAAACCCAGGACACCTGGCTCAGAAGCTTTGGCCCTGCTCTTATTTCTGTGGTTTCATCAGTGTAACATCTAATGTCCTTATGGCACAGAATGTGACCTAGCCAGGGTTGGCTAATACCTGACACGTATCCACATTTCAGTTCCTTGCCAATAAAATAAAGTCCAAATTATCATGTCACTATTTCCTAAGTCTAAAAACTGCTCCAAATCCTTAAAAAGCACTCTAGCAGCTGCTACCAAATGTTCTGACATAGCAAGTGAAATGAGGCCTGAGATAGATTAAAAACAAATTATGGCCATACTTTGAAGCTCTTCAAAGTGAAATTTGGGCTTAGCCATGTGACTTGCTTTGGCCAATGGAAACTTACAAACATAACAAAAGCAGGAGCTTGAAGAGCACTGGCATATCAGGGCTTCTGTCTTGCTTGCTAGATGCTAGGAACATGTGGCCCAGTTGCCCCTGTTGCCCAACCACTTGACAGGTGAGGTTTCATCTGGGACCAACCAGCCCCCAGCCGATCTGCCAGCTCAGTTTAGCCATATGAGTGCCCAGGTAGAACTGCCCAGCTCAGCACAGCCCAAATTGCCAGGCCACAGAATCGGAAGCTAATGAATGTTCATGAAAGGTACTAAATTTCAGGGTGGTTGTTATACAACAGTTAATAACTGATATAAAGCCCATTCTATCCCTGATCTAGGCCAACCCCTCATATAGATGAGGAAACTGAGACCTGGAAAGGAAAGACTTGCCCAGGGTCACAAACCTTATTAGCAGGAAAGCTTTAGAGCTCACAATGCAGTAAACCCATTCACTGGCTGAGAGTCCTTCAAGATGGCTGCTAGGATCACAAATGAGGTTTCAGATCTTGACAACATCTAGAGAATATTGGTCCTCTGGGCACAATCTGGTATCACACTTCTTCACCATCTCCTTTTGGTTTTCAGAGGTTGGACAGGAAAATGAAAACTGTTGATCAACGGAATGGAAGATGACTTTCCAGGCCACAGACATGGGGAGAGCAGGCATATATACATAAGGTTTTGTGGATATGAACCTCCCATTCAAGGGTTCAGCTGTGAGCTTTCTCAGGGGCTTAAGTGGTTCAGGGGATTTTCTAGGGTGCCAAGATGAAGATTCCTTTCTCACAGTCCAGGGTATGTTCTGGTACCAGGGTGATTAGGCAGAGTCTCTGGGTAGGGTAGATGCTTCCTGCACTGGAAGGGGTCTTCCCTGATCTTCTCAAGGCCCTCTTGCATACCATACAATGGAAGTCTATAGTTTTTATTGTTGCACCTGACCCCCAACCTCTGAAAAGTGCTTTAGTCAAGTACCACTAAGCAGGGCCTTACGGAGTCTGGAAATGTTATTAGAGTGCAAAAGGCAAATGGCACTAGGCTCTGAAGATACAGGAACACAGTGCCAGCCTACAGTGTGAGCTTCAACAGGCTCCAAGACCCCTTCTTTAGCCTTTGCCCAAGTCCAGTCCAGAGTAGTTGTTCTCCACCTTCTACAGGTCTGCTAGAGCTGGGCTCTGTCCTTCTGGGAAGCAAGGAAAGATTGTGGGTTCAAAGGTTGAAGGGGTATATTCAACTGAGGGCTCTTCAGTGGGGTATAGGACACTTCCTATGGACCTAGTACCTTCCTCAGGACACCCTCATCTCTCTAGGATGAAGTCTTTTGTTTTGATCAAGCTGGGCCAGAGCCCAGCCCAGTTCCAAGGGGCTATTTTTCACCCCAGGTCTGGATCTCTTAGACTTGAAGGCCTCGGGCTTCACCCTCTCCCCTTGCTGCCCAGGTTCCCTGGCATGCAGACATATGGGAGCTGTGATCCCACTAGGCAGCTAAAGCTCTGAAGAGGCAGAAATATTGCTTTAAATCACACTAAGAGGCAATGGCCAAGTAGGGACGGGGCATTGGGCTTGGCTGTGGGTCCATAACTCTGTTGCCTTTGGGCTGGCTAGTCAGGCCCCTTACATAGTTTGGGAATGCAGAGCTATACTCAGGCTTTAGAATGCTGGCCTGCCAATGACAGACAGGAGGACTGCCCAGGAAGGGAGACATGAGACAACAAAGACATCCCTGGAGGTCACCATACTCAGGGGAGCCTGAGCATCATCCCAAGCATAGCCTCCATCCTCCACCAAAAGCTATAGCCAAAAGCCCAGGGGGAGGTTTGGTGGAGGCTATGTTGTAGAACTGTTGGTTTGAAACAGGATTTTCAGTCAGGATTCCAGCATGCCTGAAGACTTCAAGGAACATGTACAGATGGAGGGAAAGACCCCAAACCCCTTCCTGATGATGGAACTGAATATCCTTATGTTGTGGAAGGCTGCCCAGAGGAAAGAATGAACAACTCTTGAAGAACTGCAGGCTGGTTGGGGAAACTTCTCAGAGGTGGTGACACTACAACAGCAGCTTAATGATGAGTGGATACTTCTCAGGTGGAGAAAATAGGAGCAAGAGTATTGTGCTAGGCTTGGAGCCTACCCAAGCTCCATACGAATGAAACCAGCCTAAGTGGCCATATTTGTATCACTCAGTACACTGGACCAGGGAAAGTACTTGTAGCCTATGAGTGACAAAAAATCTGCTGTGGCAGTTGATTCTTGCTTGGGAACCTGCATGTAAGGTAATAAGTCAATTTGTGGTTGGGATTAAAGGGAAAGGGGGGCGGGGATGAAGGTAGGACAGAAATGGAAGACTGAAGGAACCTGGTCAGTTAGAGAACAGAGCAAATGTCTAGACAGGTGGCCCAATACAAGTGCAGACAGGCCACATGTACCCTGATGCCAACCTCCTACTAAATGAGGTAACTGGAGTGGGGCTCTATTTCTTGCTGCCTACAAGTGTGAAGGACTTGTTTTGTATGGCTGTGGTATGAGGTTTGTGTCGGGGGATAGGAAAGAGAGGTAGTGGCAAAAGAAGAGGCCAGAGCACACAAGATCATGTACCCCACATTCAGGAGCTGGGATTTTTGTCCTGACAATGAGAAATCAGTCAGGAAAGGGTTTTATGCAGGAAAGGAACACGATTCAGAAACAACACTGTGGTGGCTGGTGGGAAATGGGGCAGGGAGAAGCTGGAGATTTGGAGGCTGGTTAAAAGACAAAGCTTGATTGAAAAAAGTGTGTCCTAAACAAGAACCAGAGAAAGGGAAGAAACAACGGGTTCTAGAATCATTTTAGAACTGGGAAACACCAGATTTAGTGAGGAGCTGAGTCCTAGACCAACTACTGCCTGACCAAGTAGATCACAATTACTTGGCACTTCAGCCACCAAGGTACTCTCATGGGCACTGACACATCTGACCCTCCTCAACAACTCTAATGGCCATCCTTATCCCCATTTTAGCTGTGGAAATTAAGGCCCAGGTGGATAAGTATTAGGCACCCTAGACAATGGTCCCAGGAAGATCAAAGTGAAGGAGAGAACAGAAGTGAGTATAGAAGATCTTTCTGGTTGGGCAGTGGGGCAGGGTACCTTCATGAGAAAACAGACCATCCCATTTCTGAGCAAGCTGTAATCCAATCTCTTTATTGTCAGGGTCCCCTCCCTATGGCCTCCCCTCTCCACACCTACAGAAAAACCCCAAACTTGGGAGTGTCCTGGGGAGGGGAGGCAGAGTATAGGGAAACCTCTGTGTTCTGCCCTCTGGCCTGGGCAGTGCCAACAGGGAGGGTACATGGGGAGGGGAGGCTGATAACTCCACCTGCAGAGGATGTGGCACTGGCTGGGATGCATGGAGGATGAAGTGCCTGTTGCCAACTCTCCTCTGGGACCCGCTGGGGTGGCATCCGGGGGTGGGTGCCCAGCTTGAGGCCTGGTACAGTGCATGCCCTTCTGCTGGTGGCCATCGCTCCTGTCAGGCTGAGAAAGAGACAAAGGAGAGACTAAGACTGAGAGGAAAAGTCTCTTTTGCTCTTGATAATGGGTTGGGATGAAGAGCGGAATGGTGTTTGCTATCTGCAAACAGATATGCCTGAGCTCTGGCTCTGGCCTCATTATTTTTCTGGCCCTGCAATGTTGGCTAAGTCCCACTCCCGCCTTGAGCCTTCATGTTCTCACCTGAGCCCCTGTACTTTACCTGCAAACTGGCTTAACAAGGTAAAACTTGGTCTCCCTGAAGCTTCAAGAGGAAAGACTGCATTCATGGAATTTCCTAAGCTTAACTGTATGGGAAGCTCTTGCTGGTAGAGCATCCCCAGGAATGAATGTGTCATGTGTAAAGACACCTGTTTCAGACCTTCCTCTACCCAAGCCTTCCCTGTCTTACTCTGAACATGGGCCCCAAAGGAACGGGGCAGAAAATAGGCAGAGCTGGAGTGGCCTGGCTTCCTTCTAGAGAGGGCAGAGCAGGGTGGTGAACACTGACCAGAGAGGGGGCTTTGAGGCCACAAACAACAAATCTAAGCTCCATCAATACCGCCTTGGGATCCTGTGAGGTAGGTGGTATCTCCCGGCCCCCTTCAGAGCCACAGTTTTCACATCTGTTACATTGGCCCAATCACAATCCATGGGGTAGCTCCTGGTACACAGGGCATTTTCTCCCAACAGGGTCAAGACTCAGCCCCCAAGCCTGACTCAATCTCACTCTTTGATGATGAGCAGCTCCCTCTCCTTACTATGAAGAGCTAGGACTACAGCAGCCACAGGTTTCTGGCCATTCCCCACACACCGAGGTCTGCCAAAGCCCTGTGCCTCTGCTAAGGGTGTTCCCTCAGATGCTCCTCCTTCGATCTTGAATAGGCTCAGCTACATAACACCTCTTCAACTACACTCCCCTTTAACCCCTTGGCTCTCTAGCCCATGAGCCTGGCTGACACTAGGTAGTAATGGTCTATGTCTTCCTCCACCAGACTCAGAGCTCCTCAAGGGTGGAGACAGTTCTCATGGCTCAGTATGCTGAGGGAACTCCTGGCTGGGTGGGCCTGGCTAGTCCATCCAGGGGTAATGCTCCCGCAGCCCACCAAGCCTACACCACTGGCATGGCGAGACGACTGGGGATGAAGGAGTCTTCACTGATGGGCACAGTGCTACCCTGCCAAGTCTGCTTCGTGGCATGGCCTCCACTTCACCCACTGCCCACCAGGACCCCCGTACCTGCTTACTGCAAGGCCCCATCCTCCACGTCTGTGTCCTGGCTGTGCTCCTGATTGGGGGAGGCAACAAGAGACCACACATCACCCACTGCAAGCTGAATCCTGCCCTGAGGACCAGAGCATATTTGGAGACCACATTCAAAGAGCAGGAGGGCCAGTCAAGGGGAATGATTATGAGATAAGTCGAAACAAGGCTGGCTTGAGATTCCGAAAGGGTGGTCTGAGGGCCCCTTAAGAGAGAGAAGGGACCAGTCGAAGAACTTCTGGGTGTGGCAGGAGCATGTTTCTGCATAGAAAGGACTTCTCAGACTGAAGCAGGCTAAAAGCCCAGGAGCATGGTGAGCTCCCAACCTTTGGGGTATCTAAGCCTTTGTTATAGGCTTTATGAAGACTACTATGCCCAAAAGAGTAAGATGAAGTATCAGGCTGGGTTCAAAGAAGAGAGGAGCTAGGCATGAGGAGGACCTCTTAAGTGTCATGGCTATGAGCTCATCTGTCCTCATACCAGAACCCAACAGTGACGAAAAGGAGAAAGTTCCAGACCCAGTGAAGAAACCTGGCATGACTCTTATTAGCTATAAAGCCTTGAGCAAGCTACTCAACTCCTCTGAGCCTATTTCCTCATGGGGTAAAATGTGGGAAGAGTAATGCTTTGCACAGTGTAAGGCTGTTGTTAAGGTTTAACTGAAATTATGAAGTGTGGACGACAGGGCCTAGTGCTCAGTATTTGTTAGGTAAATGAGTATTAAGCACATAAGATATATAAGTCTATATCTTATAGACTCAGAATCTGGTCTACCTTCCCACTTAATACAAGCTCTTTAACAAATGGCTTCCCAGCCTCACTGTGAAGAATTCCAATAACAATCAGGGAGCTTGCTCCCTCATGAGACATGCTCAGGCAACAATGGCTTTTAAAAAATTGTTAAGTGGAATGAACACCTACTTCCCTGTGGCTTCTCCAGGCAATTCCAATCCTGTTCCCTGGAACTCTGCATACCATGTATGCTCCCTGAGCTACTGACTCTTCCCTTCTCCAACCCATGTGGAAAATTGAGACTGAGTCTAAAATGAGTTCTGGGCCCTAAAGAGGTCTGTCCCAGCTCTCACTGGAACTTCTGACCAGTGGCTGAAACAGGCTACTCCTTGTTCATTCCCCCTTGTTCCTTCAGGAACAGAACTCCTGGGAAGGAGGAACCAATCAGCTCAGAGGTTCCTCTTTCCCCTGCTACCTTCCTACAACTAGGAGTGCAAAGCCCGGTCCCAGCCCCTCCAGCCATGCCCTCACCAGCTCTTCCTCGCTGTGTGTCAGCAGCCCCTCCTCATCACCATCATCTCGAGCCTGTGCTTCTCCTTGGGGCGTGCCTGCCTCAGAAGCTGTGTCCTCTTGAGGGGCTGGTGGCCGGCTGCTGCCACCACTATTGCCGCTGCCACTGCCACTGCCACTGTCACTCTTCTTCTTGCCATCTTGAGGGGAAAGGGGTGAGGAAGAGGGGAATAAAATTCAGTCCGAGGAAGCTACCCTAGGGCAACACCTTAGCAGAAACTAGGCCTCAGCATGGTGGGTCCAGGTAGGACTGGAGTCCACAGGCCCTCTGCCCTGTGCACTGTCCTCCCAACACTCTGCTTTGGGCCCCTGGTCACTTGAACTGGGCAAGGACCCTTGGAAGCTGACCTGGGTTGGCCTTCTGCTCCTCAGCAATCTGTTCCAAGCGGCCCAGCAGGGCATCGATGTTGGACTTGATCTGCGTCAGCTCTGTCTTGATGGTCTGCAGCTCACTGCTCTTTACTGGAGTAGAGGGAGTACAAAGCTGTCACCTGGGAGCTCGATACTAACACAAGGCCCTAGCCCCATTCTGTCAAGTAGGAAGAGAGGCCAGTGGCAGGAACTATCCTTGTCCATGGCTTTTTCTGGCCAGGGAAAAGGCCAGAGCTGCCTACGGCTTCCCCTGAGACTTTCTGAAGGCCATTCCTACAGTGACCAGCCTGCTCTTCTGAACATGGATCTTTCCCCCAACCTCTCAACTCTGAAAGGGACTGGGGCTGGCTAAGAATGCATGTGTGTGGTGTGCACCTTTTTGTGCACCTGAGCAAGCATGTGTCTTTGCCTGTAATATAGGGTGGTGTCTGCCTTTTAAGATGCATAAATGTGGGTGTTTTACAGTCAGACTTCCTGGGACCCTGACCACAACGTGTACACACCAGAGTGCATGTGGACTAGTGGATCTATCCTTTCTAAAGGAAAGATGACACCATCTCCTCACTGGGCTCCACTTCACAGCACTGAACTCTATGCCCAACCCAAGCCCCTCCTCTTCAAATGTCAGCCTTTTCCTCTTAGAAATGCATGAAAATACTCACTTGGTTGTATTAGAGCTGCAGAACTGTGGGAGATTTGTTCCTTTATCTATTTTCCAATGTAAAAAAATGTAATTCTATTACTTTGCTAATGACAAAAAAAAATTATCTAGGAAGAAGATAAGTAACTCACACTTGATCTTGGCTGAGCTGGTGGTGATGGCTGTAGAGCGGGCAAAGAGCTTGACAGGTATGGTGGTTTTGACACGCCGGACCAAGGGAACTGTGACCCGGGGTCGCTTCACCGGGACAGCCCTGGGCACTGGTACTGGTGACAGGCGGCCCCGATAGTCGAAGAGCCTGTGAGGGCAAATGGGCCAGAGGCTGCAGCATGGCCTGTGGCCACCAGGGGTCACTGCTACTCTAGACCAATATGTATATGGCTGGTGAAGGCCCGGCAGGCATTATCGACCTGTTTGCTCCCAAAAAGCCCCAGAGATGAAGAGGAGGGCCTTTCCGGACCCTAAGAGCTGCTGGGATCCTCACTACATTTACCTTTCCTACCGGCCAGGTGAGGTGGCAGGTGGTAATGATTATAGTCCCATTCAACAAAGAAGTAAACTGAGGCCAGCCCCAGAAAGGAGCCTTCCCTGGATCACCCTGACACCCAGGCTTGCTCTACTACCTGACCTTACTTCTGCTCAGTCAACTACTACCCCAACCTTTGGTCAGAATTTGCAAATCTCCCTAAAGCAGCATAAATTCCTAGCTGAGAACAGAGAGGTGTGGGAATGGAGGACCAATCCCTAAGCCTGCTTTTCCCATCTGCCTAATGAGGATGGGTATCCCAAATTCTGTGCCCTCAGTTTTCCCATCTGCCTAATGAGGATGGGTATCCCAAATTCTGTGCCCTACCTTTTCCACCAAGACTGCTAGGAGGATAGAGCATGGGAGAACTCGATTAAAAATGCACACGTGTCTACAGCCATACCACCCTGAACAAGCCCGATCCCGTCTGATCTCGGAAATTAAGCCGGGTCGGGCCTGGTTAGTACTTGGATGGGAGACCACCTAGGAAGACCAGATACTGTAGACGTAAACAATAAAAAATAAGGATTGTAAGCTGACAAGTTCCTTGCAATCTGTGAGGTCAACCAAGGGTTGCCTCGCCTAAAAAAAATAAATAAATAAATAAATAAAATAAAAATGCACATGTTAGAAGCTATGATTGGTGAAAGGCGAGGGTACTGAGACCCTCAACTCAGGGGCCTATGACCTCGGAGGCACAAGGCTGGAGTCCAAGGCTCTTTCCTCATTCTGGATCCCCTCAGTCATCCCATCCTTCTTACTCCACTTCAGAGATGGAGGGCAGGAGACCCAGAGAACTATAAGACCCCTGGGCTCCCACTCTGTATGCTGGCCCCCAATGCCATCACCCAGCCCCTGCTCCAGGAGGGCTTCTTTTCCTTTCTGATCAAACAGAAGCTTAGTAGGCTGAGTAGGGGTCTGTCCCACTACATCTGCAGCTACCACCTTTCTGCAGGGAACAGCAGCCTCAAGGTACACTGGGATTGCTTTCCTGATGACAACCAGGAAGCATGACATCACTGGGAAATTAATTCAATGCCCCATGCCTTGGCACTCCTTTGTTCAGGGAGCCCCTGCCCTGTGATGGTGATGGCTGAAGATGCAGAGTCTCTGGAAATGGATCCAGTCCCAGACACTGCGTTTCTGCTCCCAAGGGGAGGGGGCGGCTCTGGCCTTGGTCAGAATCACTGAACCACAGAATCCCAGAGCTGGAGGAGCCCTGAGGGATCATTTGGTGCAAGCCCATTTCACAGACTGGGAAGGAAATTGCCCAAAGTCACACAATCCATTCAGTGGCAGAGCTGAGATTAGCACCCAGGTCTTCTGACTCCCAGGCTAGGGCACTTCGACTACACTGCACCTTCTCCTGAAACCATTCACAAATGAGAAAACCAAGGATCAGAGAGGTTCTACGTTCTATTCTTCTTGGATAGCCTGTGGCAGGCCAAGCAGAAGGGAGGGAAGCAGGGAGAACTTTGGGCCAGCCTGCCCATTATTTCCACTCAAGAATGGCTGGGGCCATGAAGTGGAGGCCAGCCTCAAGGCTGGGGTCTGGGTAGCCTTGGGGTCAGAGGGTGGGCCTACCAGGGACTAATTCAGACCTCTAAAGAGCTGCTGGCCTCCTGGTTATAAATACAAGGCCACGCGATTCAGACTGAGCTCTGAAGTTCCTTCCAGTTGGGTAGGCACCTCAGGGAGATAAGGAGATGGAACAGTAGACCCATGAGGGCTCAAACTCCCTGCACCCAGTCCTGTACCCTGATTTGTATTCCAACTTGCTACATTTATGTGTCCCTTCGGTCCAGTCCCATTTGAGTCCCACCCCAGGATTAGGTCAGAGAGTGGGAGACAGCATGGAGTACGGGGCAGCGCTTGCCTGGGCACCTGCAGAACTGAACCCTAGTCCCAGCTCTGCCACCAACTTGTGAAGCAGCCTTGAACGGAGGTCAGTCTATAGCTCTGGGCTTAGGTTACCAGTTCGATGACTGAGTGGGCTGCACCAGCAATCTCTCAGGACCCTTCCAGCTTGGCTGTTTCATGCCTGGGCACGCCCCTCCCCTGCTCACCTGTCGTAGAAGTCGTCCCGGTAGTAATCATAGTCAAAGCTGTAGCCACTGGGGAAACAAAGGGGAGAGGGCCAGGGCTTAGGGACAGCCGCTCAGCCCACTCTCCACAGGCCCTCATCTCCAAACGCCTCCCCAAATTCTAGGCTCAGCACACTGTCACCACCAGTGTTTACTCCCTCTGTGCAAAGAGGGACCAATTCTACCCAGACAGAGACAGAGAAGACAGAGTGCCCCACCTGTAAATGGCAGATGCTGCTCTCTTTAGCCCCTTGGGTCTGTTGGGTTTGGGCTCACCAGCCATGTTGATGTCTGTGTGGAGGAAGGAGGTAGAGTCAGATGCTGGCAGGACAGTAGGGTGCCCATACAAATATCGCCCTCATGCATATGTGCAGCTATTTATATGCTTATATGATGTACACATGGACTTTACTCACTAATATGGACGACAGAGGTATTCACACATTAGATTTATATACACACATCACATGGATATGCCTGCTTACACTTCATATACATTCAAACACATGCATGCATGCTAATAAACATATCACTCACTCATACACCATGCACACCACGTCACATATACATGCATTCTTAAGCACACTCATATAAACACAGACAATACACTCTCACACTTGTTAGCATAATACATATACTCTCAAGAACACTCAGACTTGGTTCCAACATTATATACATAACTGTCTATATGCAAATAAGCCAATGCACATTCATGCAAACATTCTACCAAACATCTTTATGCCTTGGAGCAGTGCTTAGCACATGACAGGATCTCAACAAATATTTGGTAAAGGAATATATGCATATCTACTTATACACTCAAATATATTATGACACATACCAAAATATATACACACTAAGGTATATGTACACATTCTCCACAAGTTCAGTTATATCCACATACCACATACTCAGGAACGTACATATAGATATCCCTTCTCAAACATACACATATACACAGAAGTATATGTACATACACAAACATTGTACACGCTCCAAGGCAAACCGCCAGCATGACCACGTCACATGTATGTAACACCAAGACCAAGGGCACCTGCTTGCTTCACCTTGTACTCCCATCCCCTCCTCCTGGCTCTCAGAAAGGGTTCTAACCTAAGCTATCTGTAGCCCAATGTAATAGGCTGTGCTAGTCCACTTTGTTTCCTTTCTCTGGGGAATCTGCATTTTAACTGGAACCATAAGGCTTATCATTTCTGTGAAAGCAGACACAGGAAAGAAGTGTTTTCCAGAAGCTTCTAAAATTCTCCCGCACAAGCAATGACTTACAACTACTTATTATATTTAAGTTATAAATTAAGTTAAAACATCTCAGACAGGGGTAGTAGGTAGCAATGGGGAAAAGAGAAAAGGGAATAAGAGGGGAGCTGGAAAGTGAAGGACAGCACCTGCTCAGGAGAGTACCAAGAGTAGGGCTGTGGAAATATGCTTACCCAGGGTCTGCCCGGCCAGCACTCGCCCATTCTCTCCCAGCACAGCTGCCCGGGCATGGCGCTCGTTGGCATACTGAACAAAAGCATAGCCCTTGTGCACAGAACAGCCGGCCACACGGCCATACTTGGAGAAGATAGTCTCCACATCTGATTTCTTCACTACAGCTGTGTTGAGGTTTCCGATGAAGACCCGAGAATTGATGGACTTGGGATCATTCTTGTTGGTTACATTGCTTGTCTGGATCTTCAAGGACATGGTGGCCACCTGAAGAGAGAAAGCCACTGTGAGGGCTGGGTCTCCAGGTTGGGCTCAAGGGCTGCCCATGGCCCACATCCTAGCTAACCTGGATTGCTTTTTCTCATCTCACTGGCTGCTGAGCTCATGCCAGGTACTTTACACATGTTCTCTCATTTGGTATTGACATTACAAGCAGACCTAGGAGATTTTACAAGAGAGAGAATGCACATTCAGAGGTCGCAATGCTAGTGGATGGCATGGCAAAGCTGGGATTTGAACACTTGTCTGCCTGGCTCCAATTATTTTAAACTGACTCTATCTTTAATGCTCATCTCAAATGTTACTCCATGCAGCATCTAAATATGAAGACCTTCCAAAGCTCTTCTTTTTTTTCAATGTAGAACCATGGCAAAAACATCACATGATAATTACAAGTAACGTTTGTGCTAAAATAATACCATATTATGAAAGTTGCTCAGTCTGAGCTGGGCGTGAACTTAGTTATGGCTATTTTTATTGGTATCTGCCATTTTAAAAATAAGCTTCACTGAACACTAAGGGTGGCAGGCAATGGTGAATAATCCCAAGACCTCGTGAGTATTATTATCGTTCATATTTTACTAGAAAAAGACTTCAATAAGTTCATTAATTTACCAGTGATAGGCATTCAAACCCAGGTCAGCTAGTCCCTAAAGCTCATTTCACTCAATTTTACCACTCTCCTTCCCAGAGCTAAAGCCAATTTAAATATTACAGTGAAGTAAATAAATAAATACTACAGTAAGTCAGCATATTTATTTGAGAATTACTTTTAAATAAATTTTTTAGTTACTTATTTTTGTACTCAAATTTTGTTCTCTTTGCTTAGAGATGATATTGTGCCTACTCTTTGTTCTCTACACTCTGGTAATGTCTTTTACCCCAAAGGGCGGTATAAACCTCTCCTACCCCTCTCCCTGGATAGGTTACATTTGGGCACAGGATCCAGAGGGAAAGGGAAAAGGTGGTTCAACTTCAGTAGGAAAAGCCTACCACTTATACCTCCTAGCCCAGTCTTCTGCTCATTGGCATGGATTGGTGCAACTCCCTTTTGAAACACTATCTCAATACCCCCACTCTGTAGCTATAAGGTGCTAAAGACCCCAAGCAACATGTATAAAACTCTCATCAGCCTCAGCTAACCATATATACCTATTTACCTAATATTTTGGGTGCAGAGGAAGCTTCCTTTTAGTGAAAAAGAGAAGAGCTAAGTATAAGCTGGGAAATCTGTCTTTTGTCCCACTAGCATTAAGACTCTTCTCTACAATTCTCCCAGCCTGGAAGCTGACATATTCTGACCAGTAGATGGCACTGTCTGCAAAGGAAAGTAGGCTGGACCTGAGCATGATTCTGGGGAAGAACCTGATCCTAGGGTAGGGTTGCAGTAGACTCCACAGATGTGAGGTCAAGTGTGCATCATCCAAAGTAAAAAAAGGTGGCAAAGAGGACACTGCTACTGATGAAGAGGGCTGGTGCCAGCTTTGGAAATGGCCTAGAAAGGACAGACTTTTTGCTACTCGGTTTGCCTTTGCATCCAATCATCAACATTTCTTAAGCAGTGAGAGACACAAAAGAGATTACCCATGAAAAGACCTAATACACTGTCCATTTGCAGCAGGAAATGCTCAGTATTTGTGGGTTTCTTTGGGCTCCCCATCCCTTACGTTCCTCTCTGATAATCCCTCTCCTACCTGCCACTCAAAGGTTAATTCCTTGTCTACCCATGGGTATACAAGAAGTTTGTGGGGCTCCTCTGTGGGCATCAGATAACTCTCTTTCTCCTGGCTGGTTCAGCTCAAAGCCATGATGTTTTGGCCCAGAGAGATGCCACCTGCTTTGGCCAAAGGGAACCAGGCCTGGGGTGTGGACTGAGACAGAAAGAGGAGAGGGGAGATTACAGTTCAGAGATCTGTGGACAATTACTGGCTTTGCCACTGATCTGGTAGAGAGACATGACGGTTGCTGGGTTCCTTCAGACCTCTTCCAGGAGCCTCTAACACCACTGAGCAGGAAGCATCTGCTGAGCCCCTGTGCTTGGTACTATGGCACTACGGCAGGATCAGGACTGTCCCTGGCTGGTGAGCACACCTTTGGCTTTGGACCCTGTACATAAAAGACTTTACAAACTGCAAAGCGCTTTACAAGACCTAATAATTACTCGGACTAGTTGAAACCTCTGTTCTACTAACACTGCTACTTATGGGCCAACTCTAGATGAGGGTCAACATCAGACTAGAACACATTCTGAATGATACTTAGGAGAGGCAGCCAAAAGCCTTGTCACACAAAGGTCAGTTTTCTGATCTGTAGAAAAAGAGACCTGAGAAGTATATGTATGTGGCCACTGTAGGTGAGGAATCTACAAAGGTGAGGAGAAATGTCCACATGAAGTATGCTCCAGGCACTTAACTCCTGAACTTCCTCATCTAAACAGCCTCTAATCTGCTTTGAAGGCCTGTACACTCCTTAGAGGCAGGCTGTGCTGCTGTTGTGCTCCCTAAACCCAAGGGGATTAGTATTTATAGGGATATGGAAAAGCTTGCATGTCTACATCATGTCCATGAAGCTCCTCAAAGGGAGGGATGGAGCTTCTTTACTTGATAAGCTATTTCCCTCCCTGGGCTAAGTAAGCTCTGCCTTGAAGATTAGCTGTGTAATTGAGAGCAAGGTGTTTGCAGCCCCCAGAGGCCTCATGCTTAGCAATGTGCTATAGGAAGCAGGTAGAGGGATTGTTCTTGGTGGTGGTGATGGGGAAGGGAAGGGAAAAGAGAACCAGACTTGTTCTCAGAAACTTCTGCAAGGTCAGATTAGCAGGGACTTTAGTGAGCATGGAGCTTATATGACCCCACTCTGAGAAAGAGAGGAGAATGGACTTGGCCAGGATGCCAGAGCCAGTGAGCAGCAGGGCCAAGAACCCCACATGTCCCTCTGACTCTAAGTCAGGGTCCTTTTGGGCTGGTTAAGAGACAAGCCCCCAGGTGATGAGGAACCAGAATGGGGCAACCTAGATATGCTGTTTGAGAAAATCAGAGACTGGCTCCCAAGTGTCTTCATCTTTACCTGCTGGAGAAACAACTGCTGCATAAAAGCTAGGCCCTTAAGCTAATTAAAACCCACAAGGGATAAAGGCATTGAAAAGCAAGTGGGCTCACTTCTCCAGGCTAATAAGAATAGAGAAATTTGGCAAAAACAAATCATTTTTCCCATTTGAAACTTTTCAGATGGAAGGAAGCTTTTTTGGACAAGAGCCAAGCTTGAACATGTGGTGCCTGAATATGAGGAATTTTAGGTAAAGGAGACCTCCAGAGGACCATCCTGGTAAGAAGAGCCTCTAGTTACTGAGTGCCAGCAATGAGTCAGATACTTTACATACCCCATCTTATTTAATCTTCACAACAGCCCTGTGAGGAGGTATTTTAGATAGGGACACAGAGTCAAAGTAACTGATTAAAAGAGCAAAGCCAGAACCAGAACCCAGGTTTGTTTGACTCCAAAAACCTACATATAGAGAGATGCCTTGGGTACTGATTCCCATGGAGAGAATGTATTACCCTGAGCCAGTTGTACCTAACCCTTGGTCCTAATTCTTTCCCCTTTTCTACTACAAAGCCTCACACTTGCACAGGATTTTAATGAACAAAGCCAATTTATATCCTTGGTCCTGACATTGTTAGTTCTATTTTATAGATGGAAAAGCTGAGGATCAGCAAAGATGCGTGACATACTTAAAGTAACCCAGCTAGTGATAAAAGTAACTAAGGGGCTTGAATCCAGGCTTCTTGTTCAACACTCTACATGTCTCAAGAACTGTCCTAAGCCTCTGACTCTGCTATGTCATCCCTCATGCCTTCCCCATCCTATCAGGATCAAGTCGTATTCATAGCCTGACCTGAGGCACTCAGCAATCAGATGCCCACTCCCCCAGATCTGTAAATCCTCCCCAGAACTGATCTCTTCTTGAAATGCTCATTTCAAAAGAGGAGCTGCTTCTCTTGGTCCTGATGTCCCCACCACCCATGTTAGAGCCTCTGTCTGGGTCAGTCCTGCTGGATACCTCTGACCTCATTTTCTAGCCTGAGGATGGTGATGACACCAGCCTCTGGCCACACCTCTGCACTTAGGTAACCCTTTAGGTAGTTTAAATGAAAATAGCTATCTGATGAGGAAGCTATTTCCGAAGAAAGACAAGCAATTCCAGACTGATCAGTGCCCAGGTCTTTGGTCCAGCAGCTCCTGGTTACCAGGCAGCCAAGGATGACAGAACATCTATTAATCTCATTAAACTCTCCAGGCCCCAGCTCATTAGCATTGCCCAAATGATCATTACTGGCCAGAAGGACTAATGTCCCAAGGAGTGCTCTTTAGTTCCTGACCATTCCCACTCCCTTGAGAAACCCCAGCTCCCAGCATTCCGAACACTGAGGGCTCCTGATGTGGGTGGGAGTATAAGGAGTACAAGCTCCAGGTCCAGGAAGCTTGGCCCTTGCTCTGCCGTTATCATGTAACCTGCAACAAGTCATGTAATTTTCCTGAACCTTATCATACTTATTCTGAAAACAGAAATAATCTTTTTCGTGATATAAAAATCAAAAAGGCTAATCAATGTGAAAGTGTTCTGTTGCATCTGTAACATGCTATAAAAGAACAGGGGATTATACCTATTTCTATTATTACCCAACTCCTATTCTCTTCACTCATTCAACAAACATTACTAGAGTATTCTCCTCTGTGCTGGCACTGTGGAGATGCTGGAAACAGTGCTCATGGCCTTGTCCTCTACTTGCTTTTCAAGAAAGTCCTCTCTCCAGGAACCTGTTTCCTAACAACGAAGGAAAAATGCACATGAAATGGCATAAATAGCACAGGCTATGGATAGGAATTAGTTCCAATTCCAGCCCTACCACTTATAGCAGCGGTCCTCAAACTTTTTGTAACCAGGGACCAGTGCTCCTATGAGAATCTAATGCCTGATGAACTGAGATGGA